GACTCTTAGATCATCACATTCTCTTTGTTTTGACGTAGTTTTCGTGTGTTTCCGTTACTTCCTGTCCGAACCGGAAGTGAATTTGTGTTTCGGTCAATTTTCGACTTTTTTGTTTGAAATAATTTTTTCAAGATATTTCTAGGTATAATAGAGATATGTCCACAATAGCCAAATATATAATTTGTTTTGAAATCAGATCACACGTTTTGTAGATTTCAGCTACTTTCGTTTTGCATTTATAAAATCAAAGTACTGAAAGTACTAAAGGGGCATTTCTTACTTTTAATTACACGAAGGTTACGTTTACATGTTTTTCTGCATACAAAAATCAAAACATACAGACTCATTTAAATTAGGAGTAAGATAACATAACTGCAATGAAAATCAAAGTACCTAAAGTACTGAGAGGAATGATTTAGATACCAACCTTTTTCTCACTAAAGTGTACATGTACATGTATGTAGTATAAACAGGCATGTTTTCCTACACACAAACATCAATGCATACAATAAGTTGCCTATGGAAGCTTATTTTTGTCAGTCAATAAAAATCATAGTACCACAAGTACTGAAAGGATATTAACTATATTATTTTACTTTGACTTATATATACATGTAAATCTTTCTTTGAATGCAAAAATTAATCCAATTCATATAAACACGTATTATAATTTGTCATGTGTATTCATCAAGGATGGTGAATACTTTCATTTTTGTAGTGAAAATCAAAGTACCGCAAGTTCTGAGACGTTGTCTTCTAGATACTCCGCATTTATTTTTTTAATTTAAAGACAGTTAAAATATGCTTCTTAACCAAAAAAATAGCATGCAGAAGAACAACAGATGCATTCATTTTTGCAGTAAAAATCAAAGGACTGCAAGTACCGAAATGACATACTTAGTTTCTTACAATGTTAAATTTATTAAATAATGTACACGTTTCTCTACATACAAAAAACAATCCAAACGGTATCATACAGGAACGGAAGACTTTTTTGTTGCCATGGCAACAAGAGTCTAGTTATTATTATTTTTCTTCTTCCTGGGCACTTTTTTGTCCGCGAATGATCTCGTAAACTACACATCCAACTAAGATGAAATGTTTTTAGGGTCAGTAGACATGTTATGTAGATTTGCGGAACGAAGGTCATTTTGCGCGCACGTGCTTGCAAGAGCGCGCACGTGCAACGTGAATGACCAATATAATGTATATTGCCGTAACTTTTCTATTTTTTGATGAAATGTTTTGAAACTCATAATGTAAGGATGTATTAGTAATATAAACAAGATCACGTGGTCAATATGGCAAGATCTCACGCGCATGCACGTGCGCTACGCTCTGATTGGCTGAAACTAAAGTCTCAATATCTTTCTTGTTTTTCGACGAAATCCTTTGCAATTTTGAACATAGGCATGCATTAGGATATCCTACAAAATGATATATAGCAATTATCATGAAATCACGTGCATGCACGTGCAAGGCAATCTGATTGGCTGAAATTTTAAATAGCTATAACTTCCTTGGTTTTCAACCAAACAGGATGGGATTCGGAACATAGATATATATAATGGACTTTTACAAGAAGGTATGGTCACAATGCACATGTATGCACGTGCGTGCACGTGAAATGGGTAAAATCAAAAATACACTTGAATGAGCTTTTTTTATATACTTTTGGATTAAATACTTTAATATTTAGCATATTAAAATATATAGATTGTGTAACGAATATGATATGGTCATTACGCACATGCATTAACATGCGCAAGTGTGCAATGATAAAATTTGAATGAACATGGTACACTTCTGGATAAACTTTGTTAAAGTTTCAAATGCATAAAGTTTGTCTTATTTAATTACGCTTACAAGGAATATGACTATAAAAGGGAGTTGGGGAGCGTTTGGGGAACATCTGTAACGGTCCCCGTTACAATTAGCACTAGTTGAAATTAAAATACAACTTTTATAAATATGGATAGAGGGATTACATATTTTTAAAACCAGAAGTCTCTGACAGGACTGTAGCTCTAGTGGTGTGTATTTATAATAATACTTGGACCCGAAACTTTGCAAATAAAAACAATGTAAATGAACTTTTCTTGTTTTCGAAGTTAAATCTTTTATTTGTGAAAAGAGAGTTGATGAATATTGCAAATATTCCTCTGTGCAAGCAAGTTTTAATCACGAGGAAATTAAACACAAATTATTTGAACTGTCAGTCAGCGCATGGTGTATTTCATGTTGATAAATACCAGAAAGAACATTTTTATGTCGATTTTTCCCCATATTTTTTTTTCAGAAAATCAATATAAGAGCCAGAGGGCTCTTGAAAAATCCATCCTTTTCTATCAAAGATTAAATAGCTAAATTCTCTCACTTCAAGACGAGAGTCGGAAAAAATACATAAAACAGATTTATTGATCACGTGATGGTTAAGTCTTAAGGAGACTATAGAGCTACAGTAATCATATTTCATTTGTATTTTTACATCTGATTTATTGATGTTTTTGTGAAATTGTACATCGAATTTCCAGAATGTTTAAATGATTAAAGGCAGCCGGCAGATGTGACGCCAACAATATGAAAAGTATAATTACACATGCACTGGAATAAAAGTAACCGTTGATTTTGTATAATGAAAAGGACAAGACAAGACTGGCAAGAGAAGAGTTGATTTAATATATATAAAATCTGGACTCTTTCAGATGGCTTTGCTATCGATCGTCCAAGGAGATTGTCAATAACTACAAGCTGTATATTGATCGGACTACAAGTGACATCGTCAGCAAAGATGTCGTCCATGTTGAGCGCAGTAAGTTGATATCAAATTTCTTGTATTTAAAAAAATATTATTCCCAAACAGTGTATTTGTCTTAAAAATTTTCATAACATTTTATTTTGATTTTATTTTGGATTTTGCATTTAAAAAATACAACTAAGATAGCGCGTGACTATGCTCTTCAATTAATATGAAACGATATTTAATATAATGATATAATTATGTAGTGCTGTATTATGCTGTACTTATGTGTGCTAAACGTAACTGATGGAAGTTTTTATTTATTTAAAAAAAAAGCAAATACTGAAAAAGTAATTAAATAACACCAACAGCCTTGAAACCCTATTGCGAGCAACTGTGAATTTCATTTATTGATTATTTTATCACTTTGCTCTCATGTTAAACCACCAGAACTAAAACACCATTAATGGAAATAGAAAATAACGGAACGAAATGTACTTTTCACTTATTTCGTTGCTTTTTGATAATAAAGGATAATAGCAATTTTTTTTATTGCAAAATTTCACTTTTTTTTTTCAAAATACCTAGTATCCAACAGAAATATCACTGAATATATTATCTTGGATTTCTTTTCCCTCCAGTCTTCCCGATGCATCAAGAAAATTTATGAAATTCTCTGTTGTGACAACAAGTGTTGCGATTGCTGTTTCGGAAGTGAGAAAAAATTGACCAAGTCAGACATTCAGCATTCCTTCAGAGAATCGTCTGTAAGACTGGATTCAACAAGTTCTGCTACCGATAGCATGCGTAGCTTCAGGGAGAGAATGGAATCAGATAATATGTCGTCAAGAACCGATTCGGTTTCTTCGGCTTCACAACTAAGTGGAGAATACCGACGAGGCACAACAACACCCGTTATTGACATGAAACCTATAGAGTTCTGGGCTGCAAATCGCGAAAGTGTTCAGCCTAAACAACATCGCCGACGCCTTCCCAGTGAAACCGAAATCAGCGTTGAAAACTTTCAACCAGATTTATATGAAGAAGATAAATCTGAACCGTGTTTGACAGATGAAGAAAAGTTAGCCAAATACCAATTAGGTCAAATCCATATAGGATTAAACTACGAGGTATCTACCAAAGTGTTGGTGGTAAAGATAATTGAGGCAAAAGACCTCCCCAGACCTTATTCCCTTGATGAAAATAAACAAGACATGGCTCATTCTAACCCGTATTGTAAAGTTTGTCTACTTCCAGACCAAAAAAATTCACAACAAACGTCTGTTCAGCGCAAAACACAGGAGCCAACATGGAATGAATACTTCATGTTTGAAATTCCTTATAGTGAAGTGCAGATGCGAACATTAGAAATTTTGGTGAAAGACTTTGATAAGTATTCCCGCCACTGTATCATAGGTCAGGTGTACCTACCTCTTACAAACTTACAACTCCTCAAAGGCGTTCATATGTGGAAACCCCTCAGTCCAAGTACAAAGGTAAATACCTAATAAGTAATAAATTTTTTAACAGTGAATGTAAGCAAAAAAGACCAGTTTGTGTAATGTCACAGGGTCTCGGTTTTGTTCCGTCAAAGAAAACAAATTAAACCAGTTTGGTCAATTTATAACATATTTAAAAGCGTCGCTTGCGCAGTGGTTAGAGCGTCTGCTCTAGAGTCGCAAAATAAGGAATAGATCCTTACGTCACGGGTTCGAATCCCACTGGGGGATGTGGAGACCGGTCCTTCGGATGAGACCGTTTAAACCGAAGTCCCCTGTCGCATTAGGTGCTGGCACGAAAAAGATCTCTCAGCTCAATGGCCCCGATTGCCGAGTATGGGACAAATTTGCAATTTTCCACCGGCAGGTGGTGGCGTTTCCATATGGGAATTATTCAATAAGAATTCTTGAGAGGAACGTTGAACAACAAACAATCGATCATATTTAATTGCTGAACAAGAAAAACCTAGGAAACACATCGAAAAACACACCCATAACACCCGTTCATAACAAGAGACATAGACATACACGAACCATGGAATTAAACATTACCGACAAGTTATAATTAAAATATTGATACGCCTGGCAGAAGATCATTATTGCATACATTTAACAAGTAAATGAAAAACAAGATCGATGTACATCTTACCAGGCATCCAGTAGTAAAGTTGTAAAATAATAAACATCGATTGAATCGATCGGTAGTTGAAACTTGAGTCTTTTATACCATAAAGGCACAAACAGCTTGGGGTTGTGGAATTTGGCGGGATTCTTGCTTTATATAGTGCACGAGTTTGTTAAAACATGCGTATTATTGATACAATGGTCAGTTATGGTGAGCAGTAAGGTCATGTTTGATCACTCAACCGGAAACACGTGGAAATACAAAAACAATGTCACATGATCTCTCAAAAACATTCACACTAGACACACAACACAAACAAATGCAGCGAACACGTTTAATTGGCAATGTGCGCCAATCGTATGAACAAATTAAAAGTAAAACATATGTAACAGTAACATAAACTGAGTTTAAAAACTGTTCTGAGTTAATAAGACTTTTTTCCTAACTGATTGGTACAAAGTAGGTCTTGTGCTCAGATGTAACTATTTATTACAAAGAGTAGGGTTTTCTTTTTTTTTTAGGCTTTCAAAAAGCTTACATACCCATTTTTCTAAAACTAAAAAAAAAGTGTGAAACGATGTGTCGAATTTTAAAAAGCCTCATCTTTAATTCTTTTTGAAATTGTACTGTTAAAAATAAATACAACGTTACTATATCTTAAATTGTAACTTACAAGAAAAACTAGTCTATCGTAGAATCATGGATTTTTAAACATAGTTTCATCCATCAGGTGATGGATATTTAAAAAATATAGCCCTCTGATTTAGTACATTCCCTAGATGCACAAAAAATGACTTCTTAAAAAGGCAAAATTTGTATTACATAGAGCAAAATAAAATTACAATTAGTAATGGTAAGTACGTATGTAGAGGTTGTACGTTTTTTCATTAATTCAATACATAATAGTACAACATAAGCACTAAAAAAGAGTAATCAATGTGTAGTTTACACTTCATCACGAAACTTAGATTATCATATCTATGAATTTAGCTCGCTAAAATGACTTGCTAAAAGCTCTAAGTACCAATGATATTTGACAATAATGTGCTTTATTTAGCAATTTCCCAGGTAATACAAGTATGCATATACAAGAATAATGTGTTAAATTTGTAGGATCCATCCACATTCTTGAACGAATTCAGAATTAAAATATTAAAAAAGATTATCAGGATACGAATCCTATTAAATTGAGAATGACATATTATATATGAATTTTTAACTGTTATCAGAATGCTCAATTATCACATATGACATAATATTCTAGAAGTGTGAAAAAAAAACAAGGTGTATATCTATGCAAGGTAGCTACTCTGCTTATTATAAGAAGAAAAGTCATTTAAAAAAAGAAAAAAGGCATGTAACGGAAAGTAACGCTAAGTAAAAGTTTAATAACCCTACAAAATTGTAGTTAACGTGTATAATTTTTATACACACCCGCTGAATACCAAAAGCAAGGCACTCTGATTTGAAAAATATATATCAATATTGTAGGAGAGACATGACTTAGGAGAAATACTGCTGTCTCTGAACTACCTACCAACGGCCGGGAGATTAAATATTGACGTCATAAAAGCAAAACAACTTCTACAAACAGATATGATTGGCGGGTCAGGTCAGTGTTCTTGTTGATGTCTCGGTTTGTTTAATTATTATTAGATACTTGGGTTAAGGATCAATAAACCTAATTTCACTTCATAAATTTGGTTTTTAACGTTTTGCTTTAGCCAAAATAAGTGAACAATCCGAACTATTTTTTATTGAGGAGTTATTTCTTGATGAATTGTGTTGTTTTCTTCAGTTGATAAAAAATAACTATTAACCGTTTTCAGGATCCCTAAACACAATTTTAATCTGTTATTGAATATCATACATGTAACGTGCAAACTTTAGATTTAAGACCTTGTTTTGTCCATTGACAGATCCCTTCGTAAAAATAACGATGGTGCACTTTGAAAAACCCATCAAAACCAAGAAAACTTCCGGGAAGAAAAATACCATTGATCCGGTGTTTAATGAATCCATAAATTTTAATATTACGCCACAACAATTGGAAAACACGAGTATTGTTGTCACAGTCTGGGACTACAATTCAAAAAGTAAGGACGATTTCGTTGGTCGTATTGTTTTGGGGAAATATGGAACTGGACCCCACGAATATACCCACTGGAGCCGGATGTTGAATTCTCAACGTTCTGCAGTTGCGCAGTGGCATTCGCTTAGATCTCGCCAAGAATGCGATCAGGTGTCGCCTGCTTCTATTGCAGTTCCATGACATGTTTACGTAAAGCAAAGTGAAGGTTAATATCAAACATCTGTTGCTGACAAGAATTTCCATATCTGCCAAAACAAGAAGCCAATATCTGTGCAGTAATATTTGATATTTTGTTATGTAAAGACGTTTGAAAGTGGAAATGTCATACTTTAAGGACTTTGTTCATTGTTTGATACAGACTAAACATAATATTGCCTGAATTCAGTATTGTTTGATTCAGAGAGATTTCACACCATGTTTTCCGGTACCATTGAATGTTACATGTAAGAAAAGGATATTCACAAATATTTTGTATCACCTTGGAACAAGAGCAAATACCTTTACTACATCACGTGTTTCAGGCACTTGGTTAAATAATAGTAAAAGACAAATTCATCGCATTTTCATTAACTGCTCATCAAATATATATATTGTAAATTTTTGAGAGGCACAAACAGATTGATATGCGTTATCTATACTGTAAATCACTTAATTTTCGCGACACCTTATTTTCGCGAGAGTCATTGAATCTTTTTTAGCGGGACAAAATGTTCACGAATTCTGGACATTGCTCTATATAATCTTAAGGAATACTAATAAACGCGAGAATGAAATTTTCGCGAGCATATTGTCTCGCGTAATTACGCGAAAATAAAGTTCTCGCGAATAAATAGTGATTTACAGTACTTAAAATCATCTGTAATACGTCATGTTGGTTTGTTTAGAGATCATATATACAGTTTGAGCAGACATTTTACAGTCGTGTTAATAGCATTGGTTGTGTTATACGCACAATGTATATCAATTTGATGTAAACAATAACTGAGAAATGTTACATTGTTCTGCACATATATATTTTTTTATATGTATTACTAAGATAATTTACCGCAGTGTTTGAAAAGCATTGTCACCTTGTAAGGATAGACAATAAATTGTTGCTTGTATGTATAAAAGGTTTTTTTATCAGGATATAAAGTAAACATGTACATATATCTTCACTCATGTGTTTATTGGACTTTTACGAGAAGCACTGACTTTTACAGTTGACTGTTTACTTGGACATTTAAACCTGTATCATCTACGGAGGTACAGAATTGATAATGGATAAAAAAACCTTTCTAGTTGTTAGGGCCACTTATATGTGAAGGCCTGGTTTGAGGGTAGGATAGTTGTCCTTCTCTTCAAGGACAACTTATCTGTGCCTTGAAATAGCCCGTTGTTTTCGTTGAATTAAAGGTTGGGCTAAATATTTATATCGTAAAAGAGCTTCCATACACTGCCTAGTGTGAGAGTAATTCGTCAACTGTAAAAGTCAGCGCTTCTAGTAAAAGTTCATTATGAATACCATATACAGAGTTCATATATACATCAACAAACACACATTTAAGGTACTCCGATCCTCAGGTTCTGAAAATCAAACATTGACTAATTGAAAATGCTCACAAAAATGTCTCTGAATTTTCAAAGTAATTTGTTTTTACCCATATTAAAATTCTTCAAACTTCATCTTTCAAGTTAATCATGTTATATAGAGAAAAGAAGTAAATCTCAAAAGTATTTTCAGAAATTGCGAATAAAAACACCTGCTATGCATTTTCTAATTCAAATTTGATCAATTAACACATTTTAAAAATAAAAATCATGGGTATCCAGGCTTTTGAGGAAATTCCACAATTTTTATACAATTTCTTTCATTCACTTTGATTATTTTACAATGCAAAGAGTATAAAGATTCTCCTGTCATTACAAAGCTTCATAAACCACTTCTAATGTCATTTCATGTTAATAAACATTAGTATCAATGGTTAGATTAAAATGAACATCAATTTCTTGATATCTGTAATTTTAAAATGCTTTTACGGTGTAAAAATTTCGACTTCTAATTAGACCTTTATGAGACCTTCAAAGAACCTTGAAGCACATTGAGAGGTATATAATGAAAATTGTTGCATGAAAATATTTAATTTTCAAGCTTCATTTTGAGACTTTTTGAATTAATTGATAAATTAAAGAGTTGTCCTTCCTGGCTGAGGATCGGAGTCCCTTAAGAAATAAACAACAATGTCAAAAAGTTCTCTGGGAAATGATTGATTGATTTATATTGTTTAACGCCGAGTATTCAATATTTCAGCCATATTTCGGCGGACAAGTTTGTTTATTGACCGGTTTTGTGAAAGTTTTTGGTTTCTCTGGCGGCCCCCAATGAGCCTACTCTTTTTCGAACTCCAGAGAAACGGTCTTTAGCGTGCCAAGGGGGTTGTTATCCCTGACACGGGGCACCATTTAATGTCCCATCCGACGGACTTAAAATTTAAAAATATGTAAACTGTTATAAATATGTAAACTGTTAAAAATAAAATGATCTAAATATATTTCATAAAAGTGCTCTAATCAATTTTAAATTTTATTTAGCTGCAATAATGTAGCCCTCTCCGATTTTTATATCTGACATTTTCTGGAAAGGGCTACAATTCCACAACATCTCAGTAATGGTGCAAAAATATTTTTTAAATACGGGTGACTGCAGGCAAAATAAATTGTTTTTACATTCAACTTACTCCTAATAAGACGGAATTTTTATTCACTGTCGACATCATAGCTCGTTAAACGCGAAAACCATGTAAAATTAATCTGTGTATTTTCTTCTCGCTTTCTCAGCAGCCGTGACAGTTCACGAGTGACGTACTGAGACTTGCGCTTGAAATTTAGAATAACTCAATAAAGCAAATGTCGATGTTTATAAATAATTGTGATGAATAGTAACACTAAACATCGATAAATAAAATCATTCCATGTGTCATTTTTTCGTAAACAGCGATATTTAGGCTTAAAATAAGGTAATTCCACAGAAATCCGCTCCCTATAGATCCTTAATCTCATTGGCTGTCCGAAAATAAAATCTGTCAAGGTCAGTAAACATGGCGGATAAATTTAAGCTGTGATGTTGACATACACGAAAAATACTGATATATGGATTGTTCTGTATATTTTTGGATCGATTTATGTCTTGGATAACTAGATTTTGGAGGTCCAGGTAAGACATATAAATAAAATAGACGTTTATTGACAATTTGAGCCGAAATCGCTCCCGCTCTGCACCATTACGGAGATCCTAAGGAGTTGTAGCCCTCTCTCCCCCCCCCCCCCCAAAAAAAAGGGAGAGGGCTACATAATTGCAGCTATATTTTATTGTAAAAATCAGTTTCATGTAAATATTCCAAAATTGCATGTACATTAACATTTGTAAAAAGTTCATATATGGTTTTTGCATTACCAAAAAGACTACTTCGAATGGGCGTAAAATCAGAACATTCTAATAAAATATGATTAACAGTTATCGGACAATCACAGGATATACATTCCGGCTGAGACTCCCGATTCAGTAAGTATGCATGTGTAACTTTAGAGTGACCAATACGTATTCTTGATATAATTACTTCGTCTTGACGTTTCAGACCGAAGTCACGTGATATGTTAACTTTGTTTTCGATAGCATAAAGCTTACTTTCATCACAAAAATTCCAATAAATTTGCGTAAGAGAATTAACGTAAATTTTAACAAGATATTTCAAATCAGTGTTAAGAATTTTGAATAAAGTAATTTCATGTCGAAGTGCTATCTTTGCTGCACTGTCATGTTTCCAGGGATGCCGAAACGCTCCCAACAAAGATTAACTTTTTTTCCCTTTTGGTGCTGAATTAATATATCTAAAATATAAGGATGATCAAGGTTCTTGTTTTTAAGCTTCATTAAATAAGACAAAACTTTATTTTTTCAAAAGCTTTTGGTATATGAAAGACAACGTTTAAAACACCCAGAAGGGTACCAAGAAATTCATTCAAATTTTATGAAAATCAATGATTGCTATGAATACGCGTGATAAGATAAGGTATTTTGGTTACTTTATTTGTTAAAAGTGAATGCTTTATTGTCCAAAAATAGGAAAAACAAAATTTCAACTTGTTGCCTACACGGGAAAAGAAATCTATATATTTTGAAAAAAATTACAATATACAATATAACATTAACAGTGGAAAAATGAAATCTTGTTAGGGGTTATCTATATGTATTCTATACAATAAAACAGGCAACGCTCAAAAAAGTTACAAATGTTTAAAATGTGTTTGGCATTTATAAGCTTTTTTGAAGGGATGGGGGTAATTTACACGTGCACGCACAAAGTGCATAATTTTACTATTGTTGATAAATAAATGCACATTCAATTTCAAAAGGTGGCATACCTCATCTTGTAGAAGTTCATATACATGTAAAATTTTGCCTTGTCCATAACATTTCAAGAAATCCCACTCCGTTTGGTTGTAAACCAAGGGAGTTATAGCTGATTAAAATTTCAGCCAATCAGAATGCAGCGTACGTTTACGCACGTGTATGGATGTGCATGGTGACCATACCTTCTTGTAGAAGTCCATTATATATATCTATATTCCAAATCTCATCCTCATTTTTGGTTGAAAACAAAATTTTAAAAAGGTTTTAAATTAATAGCTTTATTTAAAGTTTAATGCAATAGCATTATTTTATGCAGCGCACAATAATTATAGTATATGAAAGAGAGTACACGCACGTAAAACCATGTATGGATGTGCATGGTGACCATACCTAGGGCAGTTTGTAGAAGTTGTTGTAAAATGTGCTTATATATATATATATATATATATATATATATATATATATATATATATATATATATATATATATATATATATCTGACCCTAAAAGATATTCATTAATAACCCTAATAGGCAATCCTTTAAATGGCATATATCAACATTTTTGTTGTACATATCCACTTATTTTTAAAAACATTTTGAAAGCAATGTAGAAATCAAAAGAGAATGACAAATGTACAAATATGAATATTTTACATATATATAATAGCTAGAGATATAAAACATAAAGTTGAGGAACGTGTCGTCCGACTTTAAACTAGTTCATCATCATCATCATTTTTATTTCACTCACACCAACATCAGTGGTACATGAGGTACAATATATAAATTAGCCCTCTTTCTTTTTTCTCGCAAAAACATTTTGTCAGTTTTAAAATTAATTGATTGATCATTTAATATTGACCTTGTTTTAATTATGATACTTCAAAATGCAGAATATAAAGATATGTTTCAGATTCTTCGACTATCTAATAATTATGAATCTGCATGCTAAAAATTGATAGTTATTAGATTTATATCAATAAAAAAATGCTAACAGACAAACAAACAATGTTACTTTTGGATTGAACATTTTTATTTGATCCACTTTCGTGAATACACTGTACAATTTATGGATTTATTTTCTATGTTCCAAATCCCATCCTGTTTGATTGAAAACCAAGGGAGAATATTTTACATATATTATACAATAAAGTTTCCAATCACTTGCAGCATCAATGGTTTTCTGAAAATTGTTATATAATGTTTTATCTATAATCTGTACAAAAAAAGATATAATAAAAAAAAAGAAAGATATTACATTTTTAGTTTCAGCCAATGGTTTAATCATTTTATTTTAAAAAGTTAATGTCATATTTTAAAAAGTTAATGTTTTTACTAATGTATTATTTATGTTTTCCTAATTCTATATATATTATGAGTCTCAAAGCATTTCATTAAAAATATTCTTTAAATTTAAAAATTGCAATAAAAAGGCAATTGGTTCTAGGTTTTGTCAAAACTATATCAATTAAATATTCGGCCATTTCACGTGTTGCTATTTGCGCGCTCTTGCAAGCACGTGCACACAAAATTGCATGTATGAATTTTCATCTATAATAAACTACATTTATAAAAAAATTATGTTTTTTTTTATATATTCTATATATCAATTCAGCATTACATCGAAAAATGTAAAAGTTACGGCAATTTCAAGCAAAATGGTCATTTCACGTGCCCCTTTTTCTTTTTTACGGCGCGTCATTCCATTTTACAAAT